CCCTAATCAGCTGGCTCCAAGGCAGGGTGGCAGAGGGGCAACAGTTCATGGCAATGGAAGTCAGAAAAAGCAACTAGGGAGAATTTAACAGCATCTTTCTGCCCCCTTTATCTCATTCAGACTTAGGGCAGGTAGCACTCACACCCTTAATCCTAATGTCCTTGGACTAGCATTGTACTATGAATCAATTCCAGCCTCACACACTCTAAATCCAGCCACCTCTGAAAAAGCCCAACCTAAAAGCGAATGAGGCTTTGGGGGGACATCTAGACATAAGCCATAACAGCACATTCCAGTGCTTTGTTCCTTTATACAGCTGAATCACATTCCATTGTGTGGCTATACCACATTTTGTGTATCCATTCGCCCATTGGTAGACATTTGGTTCATTTCACTTTTTAGCTTGTACACATAATGTTGCTAAGAATACTTGTGTACAAGTCTTGTATGATCATTTCCCTTGAGTACATACCTAAGTATGGGAAGACCTGGGATTTGAAGATAGATCACTTCAGGCCAATCTGACAGACAAAGGTTACTGAAATTACTTTAATGACACCAGAGGTGCTGAGCTGTATGGAGGGAGCACAGCACTGAGCCAGTGGGGTGATCTGAATGCTGGGCCCTGATCTGCCCCCTGCTAGCTGTGTGCACATCCCCTGTGGACAAATCAGTGGTTGCACACAGTAATCTCTGGGGTCCTTCCCTAGTCTAAAACAATTCTATGGTGGTTGACATCTGACTGAAAATTTTGTCGAAAGCAGAAACTCTGTTACCTCTAAGTTCATGGGCCTTAGTGCTGGGATTTTTAACCATACATCCAAGTAATCCACAGAAAGAAAATAAAACTGCAGATCTACTGATGTGAAAACTTAAGAGCTTGGTGGAACAATGCCTGTGGGAAAGGCCTATTTCTCTCCCTCCAGCCCTCTCCCTGTGGATAAGGAAGGATCAACCAAGGTAATCACTCAAGCTTGAGAAAAAGCCAAAGCAAAAGGAAACAAGCACCTAGGGCTCTGCTGGGGACAGGTCACTGGCTTGCTCAGTGCTGTCGCTGGTGCATCTGCACATTCCCAAGGGCACAAAAACACACTGCAGAGCAGCAGCCAGGCTCGCTGGCTCTGGAGAACACTTCACTGTCGCTGTCGGGAAGGCCTCTCCCCTGAGGCAGGCAGAGCAGTGTACCCAGGGGCCAGGGACCCCTGGGGGCAGCAGGATTCCCGGACCATCCTCATCCCAACCTTTTTAGAAGGAACCCAGCCAAAACAGCTCTATAAGATGATATATAAGATGACAGATTGATTGTGCAAATATTTATTTTAGTTGCATTTATTCAGAAGAAATAAAAAAAGAGAGAGATGACCAAGAGAAAAAATCGTTCTGCTTCAGCCCTAATCCTCTTCTGACTTGTCCCACTTTGCCCCATTCCTTTCCCCTTTGTAGCTTTGCAGTGTGGAACAGAGGGGTTGATTTCTTTAGTTTTTGCTTATTGACAAACTCAACTTCATAAGCCAAAGAAACCAATCCCATTACTTTGTAAGTGGCCCTAAACTTTTTAAAAACACAACTTACAAAAAAAAAAGTCAGCAACCTTAAACCCCAAATCCATGCAGCAGTCTTCCCAGTGGGTGCTCAGCAAGCATGATGAGAGCTTCACTCACCCAAATGGCCCGGGACTGTGTCAATGAGAACCGGGACCTCTGTCTGTCCCTGCCTCCAAGGCCGGAGTTTGATGCAATTCTGCACAGAGCAGTGGAGGCTCAGGCTCCTCTGTCAGAGGCAGTTTTGTTGCCCTCTGTGGCTCCTCTTTTCCCCTCCTCCAACCCTCTTGTTGATTTCCACTCCCCAGTTAAACCTAGGGCCCTGCACTAAGCTACATCCCCAGCCCCCTTCATTTTTTTAGACAGTATCTGAGTTGCTAAGTTCTTCAGGCTGGGCTCAAGCTTGTGATCCTCCTGCCTCCATCCTGCCAAAGTGCTGCCATCACAGTTTTTCACCACCACACCTAGATGCTGCCCTCTTTATCATCCTTTTTTACACTCATCTCCATTTCTTCCTTACCTCTGTCATCTTTCTATTCTTGTCCCAGAGCCCCACCAGCCAGCCTAAAGTCAACAACTAGGACCAGTTCCATCCATTGCTCTCCTTCCCTCCTCACCCTCTCACAGGAAAAGGGGACCCCACCAGAGCCAAGGCCCTGCCTGTTCAAAGCCCACGGGGTCTCAGGGGGGATGTGAAGGCCCAGAGCAGTGTCAGGCGTCTCCCTTCAGTCATCCGCTCCTGAGTCCAGCTCCAGAGACACTAAAGTCTTCCTGCAACAACACGTCCTTAAACCCCTTGTGTTCTGTGTTGTCTCTGCCTACATCGCAAGTGGTGTTGTGTCTAGAGGGCTCTAAGTCTAACCACTGGCAGAGCCCTGCCACGGATACATCTCATTTAAAACTCCTGACAATCTAGAGCCAACACAGCATTTGGGCATTGTCCCCAAGGGCCAGAATCCAGATAAGAGTTGGGAAACCATGATTCCTGGCTGCCTATCCCTAGTTACCTGCATCAGGTACAAACTTTCCTCTAGTCTGATGCTCTGGCTCTTTCCATGGCTGTGGGTTCTGCCCATCCTGCATGCAGGTCTGAACCTTTTAGGTCTGTCCTCAGTCCATCTAGATTATCCTGCAGACCTTCAAAAAACAATTCCCCATACGGTGCAGAGCCAGGGCCAGACATCAAAACTCGGAATGAAACACAGATAGAAAAGGAAGATGTATTATGGTGGAACTTTCTAGAAACCCATTTCTGAGATTGGAAGATTTTTAAGAAGAATATTTGCTTCCCTTTAAGATGGTTAATTATTCTTTACAGCTGTATGTTTTCAAAGCAGTATCAGAATATATTGAGTTCACCTTCTACACTGTTGGTGGAAATGTAAACTAGTACTATCACTATTGAAGTCAATATGGAGATTCCATGAAAAACTGAAAATAGGAATTCCGCTTGAGCCAGCTATTCCCCTTCTAGGTATCTTCGGGAAAGACTTGAAGACATCATATTACAGAGATACACACATACTCATGTTTATCAGCAGATGAATGGATAAAGAACATGTGGTATTTACACACCATGGAGTACCTCTCTGCCATAAAGAAAGATAAAATTGAGTCATTTGTAGAAAAATGGCTGTACCTAGAAACCGTAATGTTATGTGAGATAAATCAGGCACACAAGCTTAATATCACATTATTTCTCTTATATGAGAAACCCAGAGTAAAGATAAAGAACAAAGTAGAAGACAGAAAATAGGCAGTAGAAAGGTAGATCTTTCTCAAAGGGGAAGCAGATCAAGAGGTGGAGATGGAGAAAGGAAGGGCTAAGGGATAAAAAAAAGGAATTGGGATGTGCTATGTACATGTACCAACTCCACATAAGGAAGGTAAACATTATGTACTGCATACATGTACTAATAAACTAAAATTTTAAAGTAAAAGAATATACTGAGTTCAAGAACAAACTAAGAGTAGACACAAACAAACTACGAGTAGACATTTGCCTGTTCACAGTGGGAACAGCAAAGATGTAGGAAACTAATTTCAGCCTTAGACCTCAGCATCTGGGAAAGATGGCCTTTGGAAGCCCATTCTCCTGGATGTGGCAAGAGTTTAGCAATCCCCATTTAGGGGAGTATGAAACACACCCTTGGAGGATCAGCAGCAGGAGAGGACGAGGCCACAGCAAACACAAAAAGGCTGGACTTGCCCTCCATTCCTGCACTCCACCTTCCTTCCACTTGAGAAATATCAGAGTTCTTGAAGGAATACTATGGAGATGAACATGAATTGACTCCACATTAACTTACAAAGTAAATCACAAATAGCAATACCTTAAATAATATTTAAAGTATTATAACAAGCTTTATGAATAAGAAGCACTAGTATGAAAAAATGGTCTTACCAAAAACAATTATGGATAAAAACTTTCTATTCATCATAGGAAAATTTCATATATTCTTTGAGAGTCAGAGTAAAGCCTGTCAAGAAGGAATCGTGTCTACTTTTTATGGCATTTTCTACTCTTCTTATAAATGCCTGACATAATTTTGAATCTCAATACACTTTTTATTAAGTAATTTTGTCTTTTCACTTTTCTGCAAAATAAATCTCTACACTACCTTCCCAGTTCAAAGAACCACTGACTTTTAGAGTTAGAAAGAAAATGGGGGTATTCTATTCAATTACCCACACTAACAAGCATTTAGCAAACACTATACACTCCTGGTATGCCAGGGGCTGGGTGTGCATAACCTCATTTAATATTCAAAACTCATCACTTGGTAAAAGAAGGAAACAAGGTTAAACTACTTACCTAAAGAGAAGCAGCCAGTAAGAAGCAAAGCCTGAACTCTGACTAGGTCTATCAGATCCCAAAGTCCAACACCCCAGGGGTTCAGAAAGCACCAATGACTTGCTGGTGTCGCATGTCCTGCCATCTCTGAGCACTCTCCACCACCCTACTCCTCTTTGCGAAAACAACACCAAACTAGAAACACCCCTTCCTGGAGGCAGGACCTGTCTAAACAGGATGGAGCCTGCTCTCGGAGGAGAAGAGCCTGTTTCTCCACCAAGCCCACCACACATATCTGCCCTGGACACCAGGCTGTGGGAAAGACAAACTGTGGGACAGTTTCCCTCCAGGCTGCTCAAGAACAACAGCCCAGCATCAATTCCGGTCACTTCTGAGAATGGATTTCACAACAGCCTGCCCTATTTCTTGTCCCTTCTTGACTGCCTCAGCTGGCTCTCCTACCCTTCGACCAACTTCTCCGAACTGTTGTCTAGCAGGTGTCTTGAGTGGCCCCCTCCTCTCCCAGCCGTCTTGGCATACTGTTGGATTCTCCAAACATTGTCTAAGTCTCTCCTTCCCATACCAACCTCCAACCTCCTCTATACTGCTGTGCTTTCCAGCTTCCCTTCCCTTTTTTCAGAGACAATTCCACGAAATGTACATACAAAGTTCTACCTTCTCCTACGGATTGTTGAAATCTGATCGGATGTATTTGGTTGGAGAAGCAGCGTTCCAGGTTGTTTGCAGTCGAAGACTTTTTCCCTACTTCAGTGTTTGTCTGTGGAGAACATCCTCTAATATGGTCCCTCACAACTGGCTCTTCTCTATCTGCCAGATGTTGAGGGAGGGCTGCGCTGAGGAGGTACTTGGCAAAGCTCCGAAATCCTCACCAAACCTATCAAAAACCTCCTGGCCTCTGCCCCAACCCAATTGTCCCAGTTGGGCTGAATTCTTCTCAAGCCTCAGGAACACATCTGGACTCACAGGAACAAGCTGGCCTTTGCAGAAGGGTGAATTTAGTCTTTTATGCCTATGACTTTCTGCTCTGTAACAATGCTGCATAATCCAGAGAAAGAATGTCTTCATTTCAGTATCTGTGTACTTTCATTGGCTGCTCCCTGAATGTGGAATTCTCAGACTCCTGCAGTGTCAGACTCCCCAGAGCAACTCAGGAACCAGACTGGAGCTGCCTGTCCAAAGCCCCAATCCTCTCTGGAACAGCTGGAGGTCTGCGATCTGCTAAGCTTCACTGCTACTCCAGGATGCATATCAGGTAAATAAAGCCAAAAGCAGGGCACACCAATGTGTAAAAACACATAGGGGGATGACACTGGGGATGGAAACTGAGAGCTCGAATGTGCTAGGCAGGTGCTCTACCCCTCAGCTACACCCCCAGCCCAAGAATATTCTTAAATATTGCTATTTGAGGCCAAGAGTGGCAGTCCACACCTGTAGTCCCAGCACTCAGGAGGCTGAGGCAGGAGGATTGCTGCAAGTTCAAGACCGGCCTACTCAGGCCAGCCTCAGTGAGTTGGAGGCCAGCCTGAACTGCATAGCGAAACCTTGTTTCAAAAAAACAAAACAAAAAATTTGCTGTGCGAGTGTTTCATGTATTATATTCCTATAGAAGTTTTCCCTTTAAAGAGAAAGTAAAGGTTTGAGACAGAAAGGACTGAGACTTTGAGGAAAATGAAAAAGCCTCATGCTTGGGTCATGGAGAAGGGCCCAGGATCCATGAGCCATGTTATTAGCACATATGTTCTGCAGCCTGTAATAATCACAAATGAGTGTGGTATTTAGTTCAGCTATGTGACAGGAAATACCGTTTGTAAAATATTAAACCTCAGCATAATCTGTCTGTGCCTTCAAATCTTATCAGCGCCAGTTCCAGCTCAACTAACTACCCTGGCCCTCCCCTGTGACAGTTAATCTTCAATTTTCCAGCACAAATTTGGGTCCTGGTTATTTGTTAAAACTTATTTTATAATGTGTCCATTTCCTAAATTTCAAAATAGTGACCGAACTCCAGGCAAACCCAGAGTTTGCTTCTTAAACAGACCTGTCAGCTTTGGGATATAAACACTTGAGCAAACACAAACCAAAGATGCTACTGGCTCAGGGCCACATCCCAGGATGACACTGCCCACTTAAAGCGCCTGCCTGAGAAAAGGCCTAGCTGCCTAAAGAGCTGACTGTTTCGGCCAACTGCTGAAGACAGACAGGGTCCCCACCCCGGCCCAGTGCGGGGGGGGGTGCTGACTTGGATAAATGCCAGGCTGCACAACCAAGCCAGTTCCACACTGACCCACCCTCCTCCCACCTTGTGTAATCCTTACTTCCCAGCTTCTGGAGCCCTTCGCTCTTTGCAACACACACTAAGTCCCTTCCCCATAAATCCAAGGTGAGTAGTTCATGCCCAACTCTTTTCACTTCGGCAGCAGCCATTACCAGTGAAAATCTCTCCTCACAATTTTAATCTCCAGCCATATTTACCTCTAACAGGATGACAGAGAGCAACCAAGCTGGCCAGTCCTCACAGCAGGTCTCTATGTGAGCAAAGACTCAGTTGTGTAGGTGTTCTGGTTTTAAATTTTTATTCTGGGTTGTTTGTTTTGTTTTTTGTTTTGTTTTGTGGTGCTGGAGATCAAACTCAGGGCCTCATGCTCACTTCCAGTCCTGAAATTTCACTCCAATTACCACAACATTTTATGGAGTATCCACACCATGTTCCTAACACTGCCGTAGAAGCTACAGAAACTTGCTAAGTAAGTAGTGATCCCTGAGCCTCAGCTTCCTCATCTATAGAAAGGTGATATTCATATTTCCCTCATATTAAACTGCCCCATACTACGTACACATGTAGGCTAGTTTTTCCTTTCTCCTCTCCCTTTCTATTTCCCTGCTTACCTCCTGTAGCCTTTAGAACACACATCCTCTCTACTCAGAAGGAAGTTACAGAGCCCTAACTCTGGAGCTGGAGGAAACATTAGGTTAACTTGCTGTAAGTCCATTTCTGGAACCATGTCTCCATTCTGCCTAATTTACAGATGTTGTCTTTACAAGGTGTGGTCAAATATACTGCACAGTGAATGCTGCTGCCAAGTGCCATCCAACACAAAGGCAGGCTCGTAGAAATATCACCATCTGTCCTCATCCACCTTACTCACAAGATCTGGCACCACATAACTTCTGACTCTTCCCCAAAGTCAAAATGAATATGAAAGATGAACGTTTTGAATGGAGTCAGGACAAGGCAGTAGCCACAACAATGCAGCTTAAAACACTCACAAAAGAAGACTTCCAGAACTGCTTCAGACAGTTAAAAAAATAATGGGATAAGTGCATTCAAAGTGTGGGGGGGGGGGTAAAAGCAATGTGTCTTTTACTATAGTAAATTTTTTAGTGGGATTCTCCTGTTATGGGCTGAATGTTTGTGCCCCCACAAAATTCACATGTTGCAACCTTAATCCCAGTGTGACTGTATTTAGAGATAGCTTTGTGGATGTAAATAGGTGATGAGGGTGGAGCCCTCCTGAATGGGATTAGTGCCCTTATAAGAACAGGACAGAGGGCCAGGGATTTAGCTCAGTGGTTCCACTGCCTGCCTTGAAAGCGCAAGGTCTTGAGTTTGATCCCCGGTACAAAAAAAAAAAGAAGAGGACAGAGAGGCCGCTTGCTCATTCCGCCCTTTGAAGACTCAGAAGTGGGCAGTTTGATATGAAAAAATGTTCAACATCACTGGTCATTTGAGAGATGCAAATGAAAATGACACTGAGATTCCACTTCACTCCAGAAAGAATGGCTGCTATCATGAAATCAACCAATAACAAATGCTGGCAGGGCTGTGGGGAAAGAGGAACTCTGCTCTACTGCTGCTGAGAGTGTAGACTGGTGCAGCCACTGTGGAAATCAGTATGGAGATACCTCAAGGAACTAGGGCTAGAGGTCCCATTTGACCCCACTATTCCCCTGCTGGGAATCTTCCCCAAAGAGTTAAAAGATACCACAGTGATATATGTGCACCCATGTTCATAGCAGCACAGTTTGTAATAGCTAAAACTTGGAAACAGCCCAAATGCCCATCAACTGGAGACTGGATCAAGAAAATGTGGGGATTTTTTTATAAAATGGAGTACTACTCAGCCGTAAAAAATGAGAAATTAAAGACATTTATAGCTAAATGGATGCACATTGAGGTGATACTCTTAAGTGAAATAAACAGGACACATGTGTAAATACCGAATAGTTTCTCTAGTGTGAGAAACTGAAAGTGTAAATAAAGACTAAAAGGTATAATAGATAATGTGAAATAGGAAGAAAAGGGGCAAAGGGGAAGGGGAAGTGGGAGGGCTAGGGGAAAGGAAAGAAGGGAATGGAATTAATATGAGAAAATGGAAAAATGGAAACAAAGTCTTTGTAAATAGAGAGGGATGGAGGGGTTGAAGGGAGGGCAGGGGAAGGGGGAAAAATAAGAACCAAGAGAGTATGTAAAGGTGCAAATTCCCAATGATGAATGTCATTATATTGTACACCTAAAATGTACCAATAAAAGGATATACAAAAAGAAAAAGTGGGCAGTTTGCAGCCTGGCAGAGGCCCCCACCAGGACCCTACCTGCCAACACTCTGGCCTCAGTCACCAAGTCCTGGAAAACCGTGTCTCCCAAAATGGAAAGAAGTTGACAGGTATGGGAAAGAATGAACCAGGACAGGATGCACGGGGGAAGTCCTGGGAGAAAGGGCTGACAAGTATCTTCCCGGCCGACACAAACATTCTCAGGAACCACTAGCAAGAGGGAGAAGCTCGCAGCTTTCCTCAAGAACCACATGGCAGGTGTGCTTCAGAACCCTGAAACCTGCAACTACAGACCACAGTCACTTTAACTCTAGACACAGCAGCTCTTTTGTTCTGTTGCCAGTTTCTCTGCCATGACCTCAAGTTCTCTCTCTGACTCTGGGACCACAGCAGCTTTTTCTCCCCTAGTGCTGGGGATTGAACACAGGGCCTTACGCATACTAGGCAAGGGCTCTACCAATGCATTACATCCTAAGCCCTTTTACTTTTATTTTCAGAGAGGATCTCGCTATGCTGCCCAGACTGAGCTCCAACTTGCGAACCTCTGCCTCAGCCTCCTGAGTAGCTGTGTGATAGTGTGTACCACCACACCCAGCCTGCCGTGGCTTCTTGGACAAGCTTCAGTCACTGGTACTTTCCCTAGAACACCAGCAGTCCTCACAGAGGGGCACAGCTCCACATGGGCTGTGGCTGGAATAACCTCTTGCCTTTGGCCGAAGCAAATATGTAAGGGCTTTCTTCTCCAGGGCATCCTTCACTGTCCCTCTGTCAGGACCAAAGCCTCCCATCCTCAGGCCCTGGCCTCTCCTCATCGAGGAATGGATCCCAAAGTGGGGTGGGGGGTGCACTCTCCCACAAGATGGGGCCCTGGAATGCTGTAACATGCCCAGCGTGCACCCTGCCTGTCTCCTCCACCCCACCGTGTCTCCGCACATAACCATCTACCCTTCACAGCGTGACTTAAGTCAGCACAGCATCTGGAGACTTTAAACAGAATCAGAAAAGGAGTGATTAAAAGTGACACAGCCCCAAGGATTTAGACCAGTTGTTCCACAGCCTGCCTCACAAACGCAGGGACCTGAGTTCGATCCCCGGTACTAAAAAAAAAAAAAAAGTGACACAGCCCTCTACACAGATGGTGGTGACTGAAAACCTGGGTCCACGCTTGTCAAGTACAACCTAAGACTGACCCCCACTCTGGACCAGTGGTTCTGAGCCAGGAGTGACTTGCCCTTCCAGGGACACGTGGGAGTCTGGACTCACTGTTTGGTTGTCAAACCAGGGTGTCTGGTGCTACCCGTGTCCAGGAAATAGGGGCCAGGGATGCTTCTAAGCTCCTACAATGCACAGGATACCCCCACT